TATTGTGTACAGGATAGGACAGGCCTCAGATCTATTGTTCAAAGGGTCAATGTGAGTCATACTTGACTCGTTGGCACCTAACAACAACAACATTCCACAAGGGATACTTGTAGATGAAGCTAGAAAATAACACAATGATTCACTAGGTATCTCATGGCCTGCTTTTTTGCACAATGCCTGGGATACAGCAGCTGTGCAGTTACGTTAGATTAAAAGTAAAACAAAACAAACAAACAAAAAAATCAATTTCCTTGAAAGCAGAGGCTATTGGTTTCTGGTCTAGATTTTCATCTGGTCAGACTCTGTTGGGTACCTAAGTGTCTGATCTGCTATCTCGTTTTATACCTTCACGGCAAGCCCAAAAGCTAAGATTTATTGTCCTCAGGTTGTCACTAGAGAAACAAACTGAGAGGGAGTAGCTCCTCTAGGGACACATAGTTTAAGAATAAGAGAGTCAGGATTTGAACTTGAATCATTTTTATTTGATTGAGACACTTTCCCAGCCCTGCACTGGTCTTAGGGCATCCAGGTGAACCTTATGAGCCCAGGACTAACAAAAAACTGTGTAGGTTAACCAAACCCACTGCCATCAGCTCAATGTTGAGCCTTGGTGAGCCTGTAGGTCAGAGTAGAACTGCTCCATAGGGTTTCCAAGGCTAGAAATTCTTACAGAAGCAGATTACCTCATCTTCCATGAATTACTTCTTCTATGAGGAGGTGGAGCGAAGGAGAGGAAGACCCTCAACTAGGTGGATTAACACTGTGACAGTCAGCTTGGAAGACTGTGAGGATGGCATAGGACAGGATAAGAACTGCTATTCATAGTGTCGCTATGGGTTGTATTCGACTCAACAACACCCAATAACAACAATGTGGAGCAGCAAATGGGTTTAACTACCAATCTTGTGGTTAGAATCTGAATGCTTAAACCAAGTGTTTCCAGAACCTCCTTTTTAAAATTATTTTGTTGTGTTTCATTCATGTACATTGTGTTTTGGTTATGTGGGGGGAAGTTTCCCTCCTTCCCTCCCTCCCTCCACCAATTAGGCTTATGTTGAAGTTTTTTTTCTTCTCATTCACATTGTGTTTCTTACAATCAATCATTCCCATATATTGTCTTATAAAATTAATCCCGACTGATTTATGCCCACTTAAATTACCCCATCTTTTCAGATCTCTACTGGATCTTTCCCAGTGATTGGATCACCCCCCTCCCCTTCCCCCAACAACCTCTTCAATCTCATGATTCCCCTTTTCTCCCCTCAATCCCCCCATCCCCTTCTCCTCTGAGATATACATCTCACTGGTTATCTTTCCGTTTTTACAATAATGGCCTTTGTTGTTGTTGTTGTTGTTATGTGCCATTGAGTCGTTTGCGACTCATACCGACCCTATGCACAACAGCCCTAAACCCTGCTCTATCCAGGGCCAACCACACTGCCTCTGACACACCCATCCCTATTACCCCAGTCACCGAATCAATCCATCTCATAGAGGGTCTTCCCCTCCTGCGCTGTCCTTCCACCCTCCCAAGCATGATGTCCCTCTCCAAGGACCCGTCCCTCCTGGCAACATGTCCAAAGTATGTCAGACGAAGCCCCAGAATCCTTGCCTCCAAGGAGTAGCTTGGTTTAATCCTCTCCAAGATGAATCTGTTTGTTCTCCTGGCAGTCCATGGTACATGCAGTACTCTTCTCCAGCACCACAGCTCAAAAGCATCCACTCTCCTTCTGTCCTCCCTAGTCATTGTCCAACTCTCTGATGCATAACAAGCGATTGCAAATACCATGGCCTGTATCAGGCGCACCTTAGTCTCCAGAGAGACACCGTTGCTCCTGAGTACTTTAGAGAGGTCCCTAACAGCAGACTTTCCCATCGCAATATGCTTTTTGATTTCCTGACTGCTGGTGCCAAGAGTGTTGACTGTGGAGCCAAGCAAACTGAAGCTGTGAACAATCTCAATCTCTTCGCCATCCATCCTGACGCTGCCAATTGGTCCAGTGGTGAGAATCTTTGTCTTCTTGACATTGAGCCTCAGTCCATACTGAAGGCTGCAGTCCTTGACCCTTCACAGCAAGTTCATGAGGTCCTCATCAGTTTCAGCAAGCAGGGTTGTGTCATCTGCATAACGCAGATTGTTAATAGATCTTCCACCAATCCTGATGCCACAATTCTCCTCATAGAGCCCAGCCTCTCGGATAATCTGCTCTGCATACATGTTGAAAAGGTATGGAGACAGGATGCATCCCTGGTGTACACCCTTCCCAATTTTGAACCATGCAGTGTTACCCTGCTCTGTTCTGACTACTGCCTCTTGGTCCAAGTATAGGTTTCATATTAGCACAATTAAATGTTCTGGGATTCCCATTCTTCTCAGAGTCAGCCACGGTTTGTTATGATCCACACAGTCAAATGCCTTTGCATAATCAATGAAACACAGATAGACATCCTTCTGGTATTCTCTGCTTTCAGCCAAGATCCATCTAACAACAGCAACAATATCCCTAGTACCACGACCCCTTCTAAACCCAGCCTGGACTTCCGGAAGTTCTCTGATGTGCTGTTCTAATCATTTTTGGATAATCTTCAGTAGAATCTTGTTTGCATGTGAAATCAAAGACACTGTTCTGTAGTTTCCACACTCAGTTGGGTCACCTTTCTTTGGAATGGGAACAAATATAGATCTCTTCCAGTCAGTTGGCCAAGTGGTTGTTCTCCAGATTTCTTGGCACAAATAATGGCCTTATACAGTATTTATTCTTTTGCGTCTGAGTTAGTTCACTCAGCATAATGCACTCTAGCCTCTCCTATGTTATACAGTATTTTTCAAAATCGTTATTCCTGAGTGCTGCATAGTATTCCATTGTGTGAATGTACCATCGTCTCTCAATCCAGTGAAGACCTCCATTTGGGTTAATGTTGTTGTTGTTGTTGTTGTTACATGCTGTTGACTCGCTTGTGACTCATAGCGACCCTATGTACAACAGCCCTAAACTCCGCTCTGTCCTGTGCCAATCACACTGTCTCTGACACTCCCATCCCAATTATCCCAGTCACTGAATCACCAGTGTCTGCTTACAACTGTTCCTCTTCCTTTGTATTTCCATACTTGAAAACTCAACCTCCTTTGCCTTTTCTGTTATCTAAATGTGTTCTGTTGTACATAGGGTTTTCAGAGGCCTGCTATTTCAGAAGTGGATGGCCAATCCTTCTTCCTAGTCTGTCTTAATGTGAATGTTCAGATTTAGAGAAGTATCAGACAGACCAGCAAGTTAAAGGTATATCCCTTATTGCGGAGTTAACTTTAGTGTCAGTGTTGTCCCTGCCTTTCTCACACACATCTTTACCCACTTATTTCCCTGCTCTACCAGATAAACCTAGAAAGGCCCTAGCATATAGGATTTGTGAAGGAAAAAGCCATCCAGATCTCTTACAACTGATCCTCCAAGCACACCTCTACTAGAAAGACTTGGGGACCCAGTTGCTCAGAGTGAGAGTCAGTTCCCTCATGAACATCCTTGTCCCTTTTCCACTAGTGATGACTCTTTTATGCTAGTCTCTAGGTTGGGTGAGACTAGTTAAGAGGTCATCCAAGGGACAGACAGGTAAATTAACATAATCAAAGCAAAGGCAAGGGACAGTGAAATTCAGAGGCAACTCTTTCTGCCTTGGGGAAAAAGCAAAGCCTTCCCAGAGTCCTGAAAGATGAAGTTAACCAAGCAGAAGTGGAAGCATGGTGGCTAATGTGGTCCAGAAAGCAGATAAGAGTGATTAAAAGAACTGAAATCACTCTGCAACCCAGTGTCAAGAAGACAAAGGGAGAAAGAATTTGAGTGGTAGAAGATGCTGGAAAAGTAGAGCAGGTCAGGGAAGGTCCTATGCCACAGTTAGAGATCATCTCCATTGAAGGAAAATTTTGCACATTAAGAAGGTTTCACTCAAAAAAAAAAAAAAAGGTTTCACTCTATGTAAAGTGGAAGAAGGATTTGTTTCAAGGAGTGAAATTGTAAACCAGAAGACTTCATGTGGCAGCTCTGAGTTTAGGGAGCGTATAAACTTTATGGACTAGACTAGTGACATCTACAGATACAGCCACTGAAACAGGTCTCAGGGATGTCTGTGCAAAGCTGGGTTCACCCAGATGACTCGCACATGGCCTCAACCCTGGAGTGGTCAGTCCACCAATAAAGATTGTACAAGCTATAACGGGGATATAAGGCATCACTCTTGTGGGACGGAAAGCTATCCTATCTTCAGCAGCCAGCCAAAATGCTGGACATCCTCTAATAACAGAAGTGCAGATGAGCTAGTTTGGGACCACCTGCAGCCGACCAGGAATTCCGATGCCTTCGCAGCAAACCGACACCTTAGTTCTAGGGCAACCGCACGGAAGTGGAAACAGTGGCTGGGCCTTGGGGCGGAAGGAACCCTCAGGGGGAGGAGGTTCGAGGTGGGAGGGCCTAGTAGCTGCTAAACCTGGGACGGGTTGGTTTCGCGGGCAGGGGGAGGGCCCCTGGAGCGTCCCTGGCTGCTCGTTACCGGTGTATGAGCGACAGCCTCCCTGGCCGCCCCCTCCCATGAACTTTCACCCCCGCGCGCGACGGCGGCGGGTCACGTGATTAGGGCCAACATGGCCGCTGCCGCCGCTGGGAGCTGAGGCGCCGCCGCCGCCGGGCAGCCGGGGGGAATCCGCCCGCATCGCCGCCCTCGCCGGCCGGGTGGCCGCGGGGCCCTGAGTGCCGGGGGCCGGGGCTAGGGCCGCACCGCGCGGCGGCCACGGGGTCTCGTTAGAGCAGCCCCAGGCGGCTATGCCGAAGGCTCGGAGCGGCCGGCGGAGCAGGGTGCCCGGCGGGCGGGAGGAAGTAGGTTTGTTTATGGGTTGTTTGGGGCGGGGCAATCCTGGATAGGGTCGGGGGCTGGAGCAGGGGCCAGCACTCCTGGCCGCGCTTTAAGTCTTGTCTTGTTTTTCTTTTTTGTTTCTGTGGGGGATCTTCTCCTAGACCTTCCTGCGAGTGCGAGCCAACCGGCAGACCAGACTGAATGGTGAGTTCTGCCCGGCCCCTCCCTCCGCCCCACCCCCGGCCTCCTCCCTCCCTCACTGCCTGCAGCTCCTGCTTGCCTCCTGGGTCTCTTCGACATTGGGGCCCGTTGGTTTCTTCGCAGTCAAGGCGCCTGGGTATGTGCACACCAACGCGATGGCCCTCAGTTATCCTGTCTATCTAATAGAGGTTATGATTCCCAGTTCCCGTCTGAGTCTCTAAAGGCCCTGAAGAACCCTGGGGGGCAGTAAGTGCCAGAGAATGAGGAACAAGCCGCACAATTCCACTCGAGAACTCAGCTTTGAATTTGCAAACTGCTGGGACCTCACTGAACAAGCTGGCAGGGCGCTGGGAATGTTTTTCTTCCAGTTTTTAATCAGTGCCCAGTAATGTGAATACAGCCTCTCTGCTGAGAGTTGACAATGCAGTGAGATCTGGAGTTCCCACGGCAACAGGAACTTACTCATCCTGGAGCTCTTTGAGTTATCAGTCGGCCCACATTTCACAAAGGTGATCAGCGTGGGCTCGACAGCTCTTAGAGGCCTTCTCTGAAAACAGACCGTGTATGCACTACCTGACGGCCTTCTTTTTTGGATTCAAACCTCTGGAGCATTACTGTTTGCTGAACACAATTGAATCACCCTAGCTTTTTGTACTGACGAGGGTGTGGTATATCTGTGGGCTGGCGAGAAGGACCACAGGGGTCTTGGTGCCAGCTAGAGGTTCAGGATCCCCCAGCTCCTGCCACTTGGTTTTTGCTACCAAGCTGTATCCCAGTTTGAGAAAGTGAGAGTACTCATTATGAGTTAGCACCATGTTAAGCACCATTCTCACAGCACATATTTTAGAGATAAGACTACCAGGAGAGATTAAGGTGATTTATTTAAAATCACACAGCTGGGATGTAGCTTAGTTGTGATGTTAACTAAAGTTTATTTATCTCCAAAGCCCGTGTTTGGCTGACCATGCTGTACAACCTTGGCAAATACATCGGCTTTGGGTAGAGATAACTGTCCTCTAGGTAAAATAGGAAGCAAAACTTTCTGTCCTAAGCTTTACTGAGTTTGTTCTGGACTTAGAAGATGACTGGTGGTAGCAGGGGAGCCAGACCAAGCCTACCATATTTATCTGACAGTTTCCAGGTGAAGCTCAGTCTATCAAGGTGCTTTCCTGGAGCTACCAGGGGGCTGCCTAAGTGCCCTAGGCAAGAAGAGTATCCAGTATTGTGCCTTTCTTGGTAATTCTGTGAAAAACTTTTCTTTATTCAGTCATCTAACAACATTTTATCACAGACCCTTCTTCCTAAGGAGGCATTCCCTCAGACTCTTAGGGTAAATGACAGACCTTCAGTCACATCTGTACACCGCTCCCTCCATACTAGGCTTTAGAACTCCTTAGGGTCCATTACTCAGTGCCCTTCTAATACCTAGCATCCCTTTCCATCCTACCCCTGGCTCTAAATATCAAAGCTGCTTGAGCCTGAGAGTCCAAGGGTTCTGGCTGCCAAGGCTGAGGAACTGGAATCTTTGTCTACTAAATCGAGTGGGACATCAAATACAATCATGTCTCCTGTAGTAGGAGAACAGGAAATTGAAGAGCTGAGATGAGGCAGGCTACTCAAATCCAAAGTGTTTCAAACCTTGTGCTTGTCCTGGTGGAATGGTGGCTGTCCTCTTGGTTTGAGTTTTTCTAGATTTGGTCTTTTTGGAATTGGACTAACTCCCTTGTCAGACCCACAGCACCTGGCTTCACACATGCCCAGAGAGAAGTGCCTATTCTTGCTGCCTGCATAATCAGTAGGACCAGCCTTTGTTGATGCTCATGTGGGCTGCTGTGACAGGAGAACTTTCTAGGCTATGGTTAGGTTTTTCACATGTTTCCTGTCTTGCCATTGCCACTTTTTAAGTACTTGGGCACATGACTGAGCCCTCTGTTTGTTTCTTACTCTTGAAATGAAGTAATTCAACCTAGCCTCAAAAAGTAGAATTCAGTGAGCTACTTTCCATAAAAGGTAGCTCAAGCCTGACACACAGTAGAAGTTCTATAACTTGTAACAGACATTTCTTGTCTCACTTGTGTTCTTCCTGCCTCCTATCATTTTGCAATAGGATCAGTGTCTAAGAGAAAACTCTTCCTAACCCTGCAGCAGGGAGTCATGGCTTCCTTGGAACTTCCCCTCCCCCATCAGTCTGGTCTGAGTGGCCATCTCTGATCCTGCCTTTGCATCCAGGGAGGGCCTAGAAGTCCCTGTTTTGACCCCTTCCTGCTTCAGTGACAGGAGGGCTGCAGAGAGGGATTAGTGAGCTAATTAGAAATGATTGCATCTCTCAGCATTAATTAGCAGTGCTGTGGGCTTGCAGTGTACACTTTGGAACTGAGCCCCCTGCGGGACAGCATAGCAGTCAGCCCTTTGTCTCTAAGGCCTGCCAGCCCCTCTGCATGCACTGATTAGAAATGATAGAACAGGTTTGGGTAACACAGTAAGTGCTGCCTTCTCAAGGTGCCCTGGACCCCTCTAACCTCGTTGCCCAAGCTCTGACCTAGATCATCTTTACCTTTGTGTATGGGCCTCAGTTGTTTCTCCTGTAAAGTGGGACCAGTGGACATTAGATAAATTCTTCCTAGGGTGATTATAGGTAGCACCTAAGGTCTGTACCTCAGGGCTTTTGGCTTAGGTTCAACAGGTTTAGTTGATGAGTGAGCAACAAGTTATGTCATACCTTTAGAGGGACTGTGAATTCTGGCCAAGAGCCAGAGCTGAGTGGACTTCTGATGCCAAAAGAGCTTGTGGTCTTGGACTTCTGAGGAGTTATCTAGAGATGTGGAGTATCTTTGGCCACTGGGTTTTTGAGCACTGCAGATAGGGCAGTGTGGATTAAATTTGAGCCAGCTGTGCCCAACGGGCATCATTCCTTGAATTAGCACCAGTCTCTTCCTTGGGTGCTCTTAGCAAGACTCAGACCCCAAGAGAAAAAGGGCTATAAAATAAGGGCCGTCTCAGGCACAGTAAAGAGGGACTAATGATTGGCAGGGGGTGATGGCCCCATTGGGACCCAGAAGATACAGTGACTGACTGCCTGTTCTGCACTTTGTTCTTGGTTTCTCAATGCAGCTCGGATTGGGAAAATGAAACGGAGGAAGCAAGATGAAGGGCAGGTATGTCCCCTGTGCAACCGCCCCCTGGCAGGATCGGAGCAGGAGATGAGTAGGCATGTGGAGCATTGCCTTTCTAAGGTAGAGGGGCCACCCCCTCCCACCCCACCCTTCCCTTCCCTTTGCACTAGCTGCAGATGTTCTCCAAATCTGTGGTCTCTTGGGGTCTCAGCAGCTTCTACTCTGTCCTCTTTTGCTTTTACTCTCTTCCATTTTCCCTGGGTATAGTGGGAAATTATTGGAAAGAGGGCCAGGTCTTTGACCTCTAGATTGGTTTCCTTCAAAGGAGTCCTAGAGCCAAGGACCCATTTGGCACAATGCAGCTGGTCCCAGGGCAGTGCCTTCCTTCTCAGGCCTGGTTGGGTGGGGGTGGGTAGGGCCAACCTGAACCCCAAATAATCCTGCTCTACTCTTCACAGAGGGAGGGCTCTTGCCTGACTGAGGAGGATGCTGTAGACATCGAGCATGAGAACAGCACCCGCTTTGAGGAATATGAGTGGTGTGGGCAGAAGCGGATACGGGCAACCACCCTCCTGGAAGGTGGCTTCCGAGGTACAAGCAGCTGACATAGGCAGTGGCACTCTGATAGCCAGACCTCTGCTAGGTAGCTATCTGTTGGAGGCCAAGAGGCCAGGACTGGTGGCTGGTCATACATTCTACCTTGTGGGTACTGCTGCTGGTGGGGCTTTGTGACCGAGCTGCCTGCTTGTGATGTGCATATTAAAATGGATGTGTTTGGGTGGGGAAATGGAATTGTGAGGCTGCAAGCTAGGAGTGACGAGGGGGGCTCTCAGCCTCGGGTGATGCATTGAAGGTGACAGCCAAGCCGCGTTGGCACCTGCATAAAATATTAAAGGGACGGTTATGCATTTATCACTCCATCCCTCTTAAGGCTGATAAATGAGAATCCAGCAACCTGCTGTACACCTCCAGCACTAGGGGCCCTGAGGGCTTCCAGGCAAACACATTGGATTTTCCTCCTCCTCCTCAGCCCTATGTCACAGAAATCAGTTACAGAGCAGCGAGTGAGTTATGGCAAAATTTGACCTCCCATGAGTTTTATTGGTGAATCTAATTTTAACTCTGATCCCATCCCTTTTGCCTGGGCTCCCTCTGCCCTTAAGCAAGTGGGGCCTGGACCCAGCTGCTCCCTGCTTCCCTTGGGCTCTTCCCCAATTGCTGCATAGAGGTCTGCAGGGCTCTGTCCATCCCCAGTGCCCTCCCAGCTCCTTGGAGGACCATGGTTGGCACAATGGAAATCCCTCCTGCCGGGTCAGACAGTAGAACTGGGTGGGCACCCAGGGTGGGTCAGTAGTAACCCCTTGTCAAACTCCACTTAAATGGGAAGATTCTTGCCTTCTGGCCTCCCACTCGTCTCTTTCTGCACACGAGCACATCTGGCACTGCAGCTTGTGGTCATTAAGCACACCAATCTGCTTCACATCTGCCTTTTCTCTGAGCAACACTTTGGGAGTGCTGCTGTGTCTGGTCACTGGGGACCTGAAGCAGCTAGGAATAGGGTCTCTTTGGAGTCATTCTGCTTGCTCTTGTGCTAACGCATGTTCTCCACAGTGACATCTAGCACGCACTGGCCACATGAAGGGGTAAAGGGTTCACCTCGGGCATTATTACAGAAGAGATAAATTAATTATCCAAGCTGTTTGGTACAAGCTCAGTGTCAGTCAGACTAAACCATTGCTTTGACCATTTACTACAGGTTTCTATTGGAATTTCTGAGTGTCATTCCCTGGGAGGATGGGCAGCAGGGCTCAGGATCCCACAAGGTATACGCATAGAAGTAGTTAGTAACAACTCACATAGGGTTAATTCCAGGATGCTACTCTTGAGTCAGCTTGTTGGCAGTTGCAACTTATTTTCATCTTCTGTCACTGTGGCAACTTCTTAGAATTCTTGGCACAGCAACTGGCTTGATGGCTTCTGGTCACCAGATAGGACTTCAGGGGATAAAGCTACATCGGGCCTGCTGATTTGACAAAGTATTTCTCCTGTGCTGGGATGCACTTGTAGAGTGGGCATAAGGGGCTCTTAGGCCCTGGGCGGGTGTCAGTTTTCCCTGAATGTTTACACTATGAGGTGGTTCCTTTCAAGAATTCCTGAGGGGAGTTCAAAGGGGCCTTTTCTTTGAGCGATTTGGAGAGGGAGAATGAGAGTGAGACTTGAAGAGGGAACAGGGTCTGGAGGTGCCTTTATCTGCAGAGAATTGCTCCAGCTTTCCTGATAGAAGCTGCTGGCGCCTCTTAAACAGCTTAGTGCAGTCAAAAGACGGGCAGACTTGAAAGGCTGTTTTACAGCAAGATCAGCAGGGGCCATGAGACAGAGAGCAGGGCGCAGTGGAGCGGAGGAGGCTGAGGCTCCACAGTTGGGGGGCTATCAAAGGAAAGCCCGGCTGATCCCAACTGCCTTTGCCCCTAGAACACTGTAGACACTGGCCATCTGTTGGTCTTCCTCCCTGACCTGCACCAACAGGCCCAACTCTTGGGGGGCTGGGTGTGGCCCCGCCAGGCGTGCTGGTGTCAGTGCAGTGCATTGATCGCCCGCCGGGTGGGCCGGGCTGCAAGCCGGGCAGCGCGTGCTTAATGTGATTGAAAGGCAGTTAAAATGGCGGTGACCTTTTCAGGAGGAATTAGATTGCCTGCCAAGACCGGTTAGAGGGAGTGATAACGCTGGCTGAAGAAGCTGCCCAGCAGACTTCAGAGAGAGGGAGGCAGAGGCAGGATGAGCAGGCGAGCAGTGAGGCCCATTTAAGCCGCGCTGTGCGTGCTGACAGAACAGAGATTGCTGTCCCTGTTAGATATGAAAGAATTGAAGAATTGCAGATAAGTTCCTATATCCGATCGTCCCCTCTCCCTCCTCCCAGACCTGGGCTCCTTCATCATCCTCAACAAAGCTTCCCGTCAGGCCCACTCTGAGCTTTTTGGATCAAAATCGTTACTTTGTAATCCATTTTGGGAGGCTTGGTCGAGGCACTTGGCTGAGAGGACAGGCCTTAGAGATGAGGACCTATGGTCACTGAGAGGGAGGCTGAGCTTTCTCAGACCCAGGGACCCCTGGAATTGGTGTCTAAGGATAGAAAAGGACCACACAGAATGGTGAGCATCAAGAGAGGTCTGCTGGGAAGGGAAGGATGGGCAGTCTCCTCCTGTGTGTTTTACTGCCTCTGAAAACCTGCTGCAGGGTTAGCTATGGGTCACTTGCAACTCGATGGCACGTAACATAAAGGTAAAGATAGTAAGAGAACAAGTTGGCAGAAATTCTGAACCTCTGGAATATAAATGCTTTGGTCTTTCTAGTTCTAGTTTAGGAAAAAAATCATCAGCTGTGTGTCCAGGCTTGGTTTTCTCTCAGCCCTTTATGTTTTCTGGTGTGATACAGCTGTTCTCTCTAGTCGAAGTTCTAACTGCAAGACACAGAGTCAAGTGTGTCACCAGCATTCCCCAAAAAGAGATCAATCATTAGGAGAAAGGATGCTTTTCTAGAGTACTATACCAACCCTAGCAGGGAAGGGCTCAATACACTAGTGAAATAGCTACAGGAGAAAACCTCATTATACAGCCCCAAAGATAAGCTTACCTCTCAGGTAGTCAGATGAGCTGTGTGACAAGTGAACTCTAATTTTCATTTCCTGTATTTGGTGTTTGGATACTGAGACAAAGACTTATAGTGGAAAACCTTGATCCTTCCCCTACAAGGATTGCTAGTGAGAGCTCACTAGCTGAGTTTGGGGAGCCCAGAGCTCTGATGGCACACTCATAGCTTAAAGCACATGGGATTGGTTGGTTTCAAATAAAATGGCAGTGATGTGGTAGACACAAGGATGATGAGGTGGAGAAATGTCTCAGGAGGCTGCACAGGAAATGGAAGCCAGGGAGGGAATGGCTTTATTGCAATCTAGCATTAAACCCCTTTGACTCAGACAGGTAGAGGTGAGGATGAGGCAGTGGTACTAAAGAGAAGCCCTGTGCAGGGCCTCTGCTCTGCTCAGGTCCTGACCCATAGAGTACACGCCTTCCTCAAATTCCTGTTTAGATTTAGGTTGGGATTTAGGTTAGTTCCAGGTAGCCTGAAAAAGGGCAAGCAAGGCAGCTATAGCACAGACCTTTTTTAACTGTGTATTGATAGATTTTTAGGACTAGATTGTGGGACAACAGGTAGGGGTTTGTACCGCATCCAGGGACACAAGGACCACGACCCTGCCCTGATTGCTGCCTTCTTTAGTGAGTTGGCTTCCAAAAGATGGGAGTTCCAGATGGTAACAGTGTTCTTCAGTACAGCTTTGCTGGTCCCATCAGTGACGTGTGCTAGACTAGCAGCCTGCTGGAGGCAGTCCTGAATGGAAAGGGTTAGGGCACCTGACTTCACCACCATGTAGTTACAACTGTTGCCTCTTGGGAGGCATGAGGAAAGGTGGCAAAGAGCAGGGCACATTCTGTCCCTTGTGGCGACTGACGGGGATTTAATCGCCTTTTGCAACACAATTGTTAAACTGGGACAGTGGGAGTGCAGGCAGAAAGAGCAAGTATCAATGGTTTTAAACGGCGGCTGTCTCCATGCGTCTCTCCTGACGTTTGGCAGTGAAACGCGTTATCGAGGAGGCCCGGAAAGTGGCTAAGTGCGTTTGACACACGCCAACTCCCTGCCTCCACACTGGATAATTGCATTGTCAACTGTTCAGCGAGGTGGCAGGTGACACTGCAGGCCGATTGATTGTCCCGCATCGCAGCTCCCCAGACTGTCAGCTCCCCAATCGATGGCGTTTACACAAGACACCGTAACTGCATCTGTAACTAATTCCAGTGTAAAACTCTCCGGAAGCTGCTGCCCCTGCCTTCCACAGTGGATAGCACAGGCCTCTGGGGGACCCCAAGACTTTCCTCGCTCCCTGGGTTCTAGTTTTATTGGGAGCAGCAGGTGAAGAAATTAATGGTTCCTTTTTTGTGGTTTCAGGTTCCAGGATGTTACTGCCCCCAGTAAACGGGCATCTCTAGTTTCTCAATCTATCATCTGATCAATTGATTAAATTAACACTGATTTCCTCTCCCCCTTTCCTCAGTGGCCCAGGAAGAAATGAGTTTATGGGCAAGGAGTCATTTTTCTAAAATTGAGATTTGTTTATAATTTCTGCACTTCACCTTCTCTCTCTATTTAGTGCTCATTTGGAAAGAATGGGAGTTTTGCTTTGCTCTACTTCCACAGGACAGGGCAGTTCCGGCACCTGCTTGACTGGCATCATAAGCCATCAGATTTCCTTTCCTAACTGTCAGTATGTTTTGGAGGTTGGAGAGAGCCCTAGAAAGAGGGCTTCCCTGGTGACTGAAGTTTGCTTTGAGTCATGTTTAAGGCCCTGGGGCTTGAGCCCCTCCCCTGGATAGCAGCAGCAGGAGGAGCAGCTTGCCTGTTATCCTGTAGCCACATGGAACAGGAGCCAGAGCCTTGGAAGGAAGCTCTATGTGCCATCTTGCCTTTGAGTACTGGCTTGGGATACACCAGCAGCTGAGAACATAAAATGACTGTGGAGCCTTCTTCTCCAAGGGGGAGGGAGGGGAGAACAAGCTGGCGGGGGCGCTATCTGCATAAAACGGCTTTATGGCCATTTCTTTTTATTATGATTCTGCCAGAAGTCAGCAAGTGACATTTCATTAAGAAAATAAAGTTTAATGCGCTGGGAAGGAGGTTGGAACAGGCTGGGGCAGCACAAGAGTGAAATTGGTGGCAGCAGCCTGTTCTGAACACCTGTCAGGCAGGAAGAGGCTCTGAACATCTGTCTCTATTGGAGCAAGGGGTCAGAGTCTCAGGCCACTACTCAGACCAGAGGCAGAAAGGCCTTTTCCTTGGAAAATAAGATATGTCATGCTCTAGCCTGCCTGGCTGGTCTTAAAAAGAACGTTGTACCCTGAGAGGTTCAACGAGCTAACCAGCCTCAGCCGACCTCCTGGCACAGGACTCCCTAAAATAGTGTTGGCAGCATCTGATCAGTACTGTTGTGGTGAGCTGTGTGGCATCTGCTGTGGACCTGGGCAGTTCAGTGCTGCATGATGCTAGGATCACAGCTGTGACTCAGACTTGAGACCCATCTTGGAAGCCTCAGTCTTATGAAGGACAATGATGGTAATAAATGTGATCCTGAAAGGACATCAGAATCTGGACACATGCCAAGGAAGGGACACCTATGTATAAAATACCTGGAGAATGCTCATCTACCATCCAGAGTGAGGACCAGATCTTGAAACTTTGTTCATAACCAAGACTTCTATGTAATTTGTTCTAGTTGATTTTCTAGATCCCCAGATATGTTTTGTATATACATAAAAATCACCTTGAGATTGTGTTAATGTAGATTCTGATTTCAGCATTAATCTGGAGTGGAAATCCAACTTTTCAGAAAGAAATGAACCTGTTCAGTCTTATTTATGACACCAAACCAGGGGATGAAGGATGGCTGGAAGTATTTCAAAATGCAGTTGCATAAGAACACCTTAAGTTAATACTAGATGGCATGTTTGAGCAGAGTCATATTTGAAAAGTGGGCAGGTATTTGCTTGCAGACCTAAAAGTGACTGTGCTAGGCAGAATACACAGGTCTGAAGGACATCATAGCAAGAGAACATACATAGAATTGAGGAATCCATGATAGCTTCATCCCACAGAGGTTTGGTTGAGGGGTGATAAGCAGTAAGACTGCAGTAGATGGGACCTTTAGGCCTAGAAGTTGGACCTTTCCTGGCAGCTTTCAGGTGTCTTTGCTGTGTTCTGCCATGTGGGCTCAGGAGTGAGGTCGGGATTCTCTGTGTTGCTTTTAATCCCCTTCCAGGCTGAGCAGAGAATGGAGGCAGGCTGCTGAACTGCATATGCTTGGGGAAGGGGGGTTGGCAGGGATTTGGGGCACAGGCTATAAGTGAACCTGATAGCTACATTCTGATTGATGGCGGAGTTTGTCTCCCAAACTGTCAGTGGGTTTATAGAGGTGCCACTCACCCATAAGGCGGGAATTGCTTGTCAGGACACCTGGCCGTAAGCAGGAGACAGAGCTGTAACTTGGTGTTTTCTCAGCTTAATGGCCCTACTGCTGACCTGCCTGCTGCCTTAAGTTTGTTGGTGCCTCGGCTTAGTGGGAAAATGAGAACTGTCAGGGAGGGTGTGGAGCCAGGCAATTCTAGTTTCTTTCTCTAGTGCTTCCTACCCCCAGGATGGTCAGAACCTTTCTGCAACTAAAGACCAGAAAGGTAGCAGGGAGAGATCAGGAGAAATTACTACAATAAAAAGCTTTGAAATGGGCTTAAAAGATGGAGGGAGAATGTTCCAGTTGGACTGAGTAACATAAAGGTCTAAGAGCAGGGCATAAAGATTATGTCTGAGGTACAGTAAGCAGTCTGTCTGACCATACATGCAGTGAAAGAGGGAAAGAATCAGAGTGGAGAAGTAATGCAGCAATGAATGTACAGAAATCTAAAATGTAGATATTTATGAACATTAATTTTAAAAAAAAGTTGAGAAGTAGCATCTAAGTCTCAATAGATCAGGCTGAGGAGCCTGGCTAGTCACAACTGTTCATGAACAGGAACCTGATACAATTTTTTTTTGGATGGAGCAAAGAAGGGCCAGAACTATATGGATGAGAGAACAGAATTAGAAAGACAGAATGGGAAGGAAGGAGGCAAAATGTGGGTCCTGACCCTGGATAGTAGGAATAGTGTTCCTGGGAGTTGGAGAAGGTGAATGGGCCTAGTGTAACCGTAACACTTCCCCCTCCCCCAGTAACTGAATCTACTTGTGGCTTTGCCTCAATTTAACCTGCCTCAGTTTAACCTGGCTGCCTTTTTGGACTTCTTTGAGAAGCAGGTGTGCCTGCCTAGCCGCCTTGCTTGTCCCTTCCTAATCCCTTTATAACTGCACTTGTCCAGGAATCTGGGCTGAGTTGAGGTGGAGATGAATAATTAATGTCAGGCGCTTCAGACACCAAATATTTGAACAGCTGCCTGGTGTTTTTGCTGGCAAGGACCTGGCGGCCAAAATGAGGGCGTTGGCTGGGGGGTCTCACAGTACGGTTCTGACTAGCCATAGGCAGCTTGTTCTTTCTCTGATGGATTTCTCAGTCTGGACTGAAAAATAGGGGGAGGCCCTGCTCTTGAATGGGGTTAACCTTTTAGACCTGAATTTCTCTGTCCTCTTCCTGTTCTTCCCTGACATGCAGTGAGATGTGCAGCAGACCCGGGCCTAGAGGTTTCTTGAGGCCCTTACATAGGGGTTAGGTTATGTGGGGCTATTTGCAGCAGCAGACAGCGGCAGAGAAGGATGAGATGAGTTGTGCCATGTGAAATGGACTAAAATATCAGTCTGTTACCTTACTCTACACATCCCAAGCTTGAATATCTTATCTCCCTGAATCTTACCTGATACTAAACCTTACCCCTTCCTGACAGCAAAAGGGGCACCCTTGGGCTACTTGTTGGTTCCTGGCCCTCCTCACACCCTGCTTCCCACAGGCTCTGGCTTCGTCATGTGCAGCGGCAAAGAGAACCCGGATAGTGATGCTGACTTGGATGTAGATGGAGATGACACTCTGGAGTATGGGAAGCCACAGTATCCTTGGGCCACTGTGGGAATTTGGGGAGGCCAAAGAGAACAAGCAAAGTAGCTAGTACCTCTAGTACTTGACACCCTACCCTGAGGCCAGAGTCCCATAACTTTGGCACATGGAGCCCAAGCCTTCCTCAGAAATCAGCCCTCATGGCCTGCAAACTAGGATCCATTATCCTTGACCACCATGCCAGGTACACAGAAGCCGATGTCATCCCTTGTACAGGCGAGGAACCTGGTGAAGCCAAGGAGAGAGAGGCACTCCGGGGTGCAGTTCTAAAGCAAGTGTTGGCACAGGCTTGGCTGGGTGGGGTAGAGGGATAGAAATCCCTGAGCCTGGTTTTTATCCAGCACCACCCCACCTAACTTCACTTCCCCCCCCTTCTCTTCCTCTAGTGGTGGCCCTCCCAGCACACGCATCACACCTGAGTTCTCTAAGTGGGCAAGTGATGGTAAGTTCTGCCCTAGGTCAGGAATAATGGGAGAGAGGGTGTCCCAGGACGATGGTGCTAACTCATGCCCAGCCCCTCACCTGTGCTGCCCAGTCTGGCCAGCATGTGAGTTGCCCCTCTGTTCCTGCAGAGATGCCTTCCACCAGCAATGGTGAGAGCAGCAAACAGGAAGCGATGCAGAAGACCTGCAAGAATAGCGACATCGAAAAGTGAGTATGAGTGGGCAGGGAGAGGCCCTTTGCAAGCAGAAGGACCTGCTGCCAGGGCTTCTGGCCTCTCCTGAGTGTGGCTTAGTCTTGCAGCCCTGGGCACACAGCCGGCAGAGGGGCCCAGCTGGTGCTAAGCATGACTCTGTGAATTGATCGCTGGGCCATGGCCCCGGGAGCCTTGGAGGGAGGAGTAGTCAGCCTGCCTGCTGCCTGCCTGCCTGCCCGCTACGGCGGCTTCCACCCGGGGAATGTGATGTATGGCCGCCCAGCCCAGCCGGCGCACTTGATTCATCTCCAGTTTCTGTTTCTTAATCGGGAGCTAAATTGGTTTCATTTTTCTTGTCCCGGGTGGCGCTTGCAATGGTTTTTAGGCAGCAGCATTGGGTCTCATCACTTGTGGTAGGAATTTTTGGCCTGGGTTCTCTGGCAGGGGAGTAGGATCCATTAGCACTTCACCTAGAGCGAGGCAGTCTCTGGCCTGGATGCCCAGGAACTACAAGGACTTTTCAACTGGGCACCATACTCCCTTTTTCAGAAGCCCATGTAAGGCCAGTTCTAACCCCAGGAGGTGGCATTGCCCACTCTAGGCTCCTTGGAGCAACTGTCGTTGGCCATTGCTTACCTGCCTATACAAACATCTGGTCTCCTCCACTGGAAGCTAGGTGGCCTGGGGTTAAAAGGCAGCTTCTTCATCCCAGGGCCAGTGTTCCATCTTGCCTTCTGCCAGCTGAGTGGATTGCAGGCCGGTGCAGGGCCGGGTCGGTGGCCCAGGGTCACCTCCCATTTGTTTCCCTCCATTTTGTGTTGTCATAAATTCATTCCAGCCCGTTGTGGTTGATCAGTTTATCTCGGCCGGGGCCACGAGTGCTGCTGGCATGATGTATGGGCCGCGGCGCAGGGCCCGGCTGCCCATGAATCACCGCAGCTGCTCCGTGTCAGCGCCGGAGCGGGCCGCACGGGTTCGGTGCAACCAGCTTGGGATGGGGGGGAGGAATGACGTATGGATGTTTATTTAATAATTCTCTCCTACTCCAGCTGAGCGGGGCAGGCGGGGCCATAAGGGGCGCCCACCCTCGTCTGGAGGGGCGGCTCATAAATCAGAAAGACAAGATCATTAATCAGGGATGGCGCCTGAGGGGGAGGTGGGGGCCAGAGCCAGTGGCCAACCATTGAAGCTACTACCCACCCTAGGCTGGGAGAGTCAAGATTCCTATCCCACCTGTGTGAGCACAGGCATAGATGGGCGGGGCTACCTGGACAAGGTGGCGATCAGTCAAGGAGAAATCTCCCTCCATTAGGTCCAGATCTGCCAAAATTGGGGCTCTCAGTCTCATGACTCCTCCCCTTATACGCAGGGAGACCTAATTTCCTAATCGAGGAGAAGGGAAAGGCAAGAAGCCAGCCTTCCTCCAGGAAGCCGCTTGTGTCCTGCAGGGGCCCAGGTAGGGATGGGTTGCAGACACAAGCTTGTTTGTGCTTATGAATCTGTAGTGAATAGTGTAACATCATCTTCACCACATCTGTGAAACTTTGACTATGTTGTTAAGTGCCGTCAAGTGGCTTACTTTCACTATAGATTAGTAAATAAGCACAAGTAAATCCATGATTACCTGGCTTAACTGGGCACTACTCTGATTCTGTAGGAAGGTGCTGTGAGGTTGAATCTAGAAGCAGAATTATTGATATGGTGGGGGGAAACCGGGTGACTCTTCACTATCGATCAGTAAGTGAGCTTGTGCTCACCTTGCTTGCTTATTCACTAGGCCCATGACTAGCTAGCTCCCGACCAACTTGGATCAGGAACTGCCGGGTTGGGTCTTTCATCAGAGCTCAGATTAGAGAGGCCAGGTGTGCACTTAGCAAATCTGGAGTTGTGAAATTCACTGTGGCCTTAGAAGTGAGTCCTGGTGGCCCAGTGGTTAAGTGCTTAGCTGCTAACCAAAAACTTGGTTAACCAGGCACTCTGCAGAAGAAAGATGTGGCAGTCTGCTTCTGTAAAGATGTACAACCTTGGGAACCCGTGTGGTTCCCAAGTCCTACAGAGTTGGAATGAACTTGACAGCAGTGGATGTTGGGGAAACTTCAAATTCTTGAGGTAGAGTGGGAAGTGTCTTCATTCTCTTCTGGCCCCATCCCTTTGGACTTTGTAACTATACCTCATTCTTTGGTTTGGAGTTTGGAGATTATTTTTCTGCTCTGGCATGGACTGCCAGCTCCAGACCTTAGATCATCTTTGAAATAACCCCTTCCCCTCATCCAAGTCCCAGTTTGTCCCTGGAGGGAGTGGGAACATAGCTCCTCAGTCTTGTCTCCTGTCAGCAGTCCAGATGCAGATGACACACACATGCCTTTGGGAAAAATTCCAGAGAAGGAGCCAGCTCTGTAGCTGCCTATTAAGAGGGTGGGCAAGAAGGTTTCAGAACTGAAAGTCTGATGGGAGGAGGTGGCATTCGGGGCTTTCTTGGCTTCCCTGGAGAGAGGCAAGGCAGAGAAAATGGTGTATCTGTGAACATCCCTGATATCAAGGGAGCTCTGGTGGCCTAGTGGTAAGAAACTGAGCTGTAATCTCAAATGCATGCAGTTCAAATCCACCAGCTGCTCCATGAAAAAAAGATGGACCGTCTACTCCTGTGCAGTTTACTGTCTCTTAAAACCCACTGGAGGGTCAGCTGTGGGTTGGATCCAATTTGATGGTACACAACAACCCACCACCGTTAGGAGAGAGGTCAGAGATGAAAGTTTGTTGGTGTCCATGAAATTTGACCACTCTCTTTTCTGCCTTTCCCCATTCCCATCATTATTACTTATATCCAGCAATGAGATAATCTATAAGCATTCCAGCTTTATGAGCCAGTTTTCTCATTCAAGTGGACAGAACAAGTCACCACCCCCAGGAGACTAATGAGCTTAAACTATACCTCTCATGACTGGGCAGTGGCCTTCACCCCTAATTTGGTCTGTTTTTCTTAATCCACAACTCTTACCCTTCCATACCCCTCTTCCAACATCCTTATTAACATGAAATTGTAAGATACACAGTTCAGTTCAGTTCCTAATTGTGCCACTTGAGGTCCCTCCATATACAGCTTCCTTTCTCACTGGAGCAACTTTGGCTTACTTACAAATGAGCCAGATGATCTTTATTACTGTTCTTTCTCTGCCTGAGAACGTGTCTCCTCCAAGGTATATTCTAATGGCTTGGAATTAACACTCTTGGAATCAGTCTGCCAAGGTTTGAATCCTTTCTATACTCTGTGTAGACTTTGAGCAGGTACTGAATGTTTCATACATAGTAGAATATTCTAATAGGACTTTTTTGAGCTGTAAATAATATTTCCATCAAGTCAGAATTAACTCATAGCTTGACCCTCCAGCAAGTTTTCAAAGCTGTAAATGAAGTGAGAGGCGATTGCTCATCTTTCTCCCAGTGAGTTGCTGGTGGATTCTAACCACCAGAGGGGCTTGGCCTTTGGGTTAACAGTGCAACTCAATATGGACTAGGCCACTGGAGCCCCCTTACCAATCCCTTCTTGTGTGACTTTGAGTCAGAACTGACCCATAGCTGATCCTCCAGTAGGTTTTCACAAACAGGAGTAAATTGGACAAGAGATGGCCCATCCTTCTCCTGCAAAGTAGCTGATATATTCAGACTGTTTGCAGGTTCGAACTGTGTGCCTTTGGGGTTGCAGTGTGGTTTCTTAGCACTAGGCCACCAGAGCTCCCTTAGTACCAACCAAAACCAAACTCATTATTGAGTCAATTCCAACTCATCACCACCCTATAGGATAGAGTAGAAGTATCTCATAGGATTTTCAAGGGTATAGATAATTTATCCCCACAAAGTAACTGATGAGCTTGAACCACTGGCCTTTTGGCTGGTAAGCAAGAGTTTAACCACTGCCATAGGGCTCTGATACCTCCGTACAGTCCCTGGCATTTTGTATGTGTCAGTAAGTTTTAACATTTTACTTGTTTTCTCATCACTATTAACCCCTAAGGCCCATCTCCACTACCATCTTTTGTATGACGGGAAGTCAGTTTTCTCCCACTCTCGTGAGCACTTGGACCCTTTGTTCCCTAATTTTAGAAGAGGTGATGAGAGCCATTCCTTCAGAGAGTCCTAGCTAATCCATGCTTGGCTTAGCAGCCAGTGAATCCTTGGGAAGTTATAGGAACCTTACTTGTACAGGGCTTAGACAACATCTGGTGGGCCCAGGGGGAAATCACAGGCTCCTTTGGCCTGTTACCCAGGGACCTCAGTTATATGGAACTTGACTAGTCTCTACAGTCTCACCTAGCCTTTCCCTCCTGGGTGAATTGGCTCCCCCAGCCCCCAACTCCCTTTTGATTTTAAAGTGATTATGTGAAAGTTCATGAAGCAAATAGGTTTTCCATTAAACTATTCATACATTTTAATTTTTTTTTTAAATAACATTGAAATAGCCCACAGTAAACTCATACTTTTCCCACTTCCTCCCTGTAATTATCATTTTCATTGATCCTTCTATTCTACCCTCTTCCTGCCTCTGGGCTTTATCTTTAGACAAATGGCTGCTTTTACCCCTTATAGGGTTGGTCATTCCAAGCATGCCTCCCTGATGTTACAGTTGACCCTATAAGCTGTCTATTGTTTGACTAAAGGTTGAAGGGTGACTAAGGGCTATCAGCTTAGTGATTCCATCAGTCTCATTGGAACTAAAAAGCCTGGCCATTTTTGCTTCTGACTTTTGTTGTACATTCTCTCTCTATTCACATGTGTCATCACACACTAGATTGCTAGCATGGGTATGTCCATAAGTAAATACTAGTTAGGTGAACAGCCTGCCCTTAGGGAACTCAGTCTAGCAGACGAGACAAAGACACTTCAGAATGCAATACTGTCACTTTACAGTGGTGTTAGCACAGGGTGCTGTAAGAGCACAGAATGGACAGCCACCAATTGTGTTGCTAGCTGGCAGGGTTGGAAGATTCTTGGGAGGAGGTGGTAACCTAGGCCTGAGTGGAGGCACAGCTAGTTAAGAGATGGAGCAATCCAAGCAGAGGAAGCAGAAAATGCAAAGGCCTAGAGTGGGAACAGTGCTGTGTGGGGGCTTATAATAGTTGAGTGTGCTTAAAGCACAAATAAGGAGCTCTGGTTATATCGTATTTAACTTGTCACTGCTACTTGAAAGGTGAACAGTTCAAATCCACTTGCCACTCAGAAAACTGAGTATTCTCCTATAAAGATTTATAATCTTGGAAACTCTATTGAGGGTTGCTATAAGTTGAGATTTTGGTATGGACTTGGTGGCAGTGAGTTCATTTGGGTTTGGAGTATGAGAGATCTGGCAGGGTGGTGAAGGATGCTGCTGGCATGGCCCAGACAGGTGGGCCTTGTAAGCCTTGCTAAGGAGGTGGGTAGAGTTTTACTTTAGGCATGCCACTAAAATATTGGAAGAAGAAGTGATCAGATTTGCATTTTAAAATGCAAATTCTAAGGGGACCTCTGGTGACAAGAAGCTGCCCTGCAATCCCAGAGGCACACAGTTTGAATCCACCAGATGCTCTGCTGGAGAAGGTGGGGCAGTCTCCTCCTGTACCAGATGGATCCAATTTGACGGTACACACACAAAATAATAAGTTTTTTTAAAAAAAATGCAAAATTCTAACTGCTAGGGCAGGGAAACTGAGATGATGGTCGTGAAGGCACAGAGGCTATTGGAAGGTTAGCGAGGTAACCTGTAGATAAAATTATTAGTCATTAGATTAGGTTCATGGGTAGAAAGATATGTAGGAGATAGATGGCAGGTTTTGGATGTTTAAGGTGACTGAGGATGGTTCCCAGGTATCTGGTTTAAAAATTCACAGGGATTGAGATTGTATGAAAAACTGAGAGGCAGGAGTCCATTTCTGGGATGTGGAGTTTGCAAAATTAGCCTCTCTGCAGAGTGGGAGGGCAAGAAGGATGTCTAGGAGACATACATGTCCATGTCGTTCTGGAATTTAAAGGAGGTGTGGGCTATAAATTCAGATTGGGGATTCCAGGCAGCTGCACAGCTATGGCGTCTTCTTTACAGAATCACTGAAGATTCAGCTGTGACGACATTTGAAGCCCTGAAGGCTCGGGTCAGGGAGCTTGAACGGCAGCTATCTCGTGGGGACCGTTATAAATGCCTCATCTGCATGGTGAGTATGTAGGGGTGCCCTTGGTCAGAACAAGCACAGTGTCTCCCATGCCTCAGTGCCTCCTGGGGTTAGAGAAGGTTTCTGGGCTTTGAAGGGTGGGCCAACCTTCTCTGCCTACTCCTCCCTAGGACTCATATTCGATGCCTCTGACGTCCATCCAGTGTTGGCACGTGCACTGTGAAGAATGCTGGCTTCGGACCCTGGTGAGGTGGCATGGCTTGATGGGCTCGGGAGGGAGTGGCTGTTTTAAGCACTGCCTGCCTTCTTGTGCTAAAGCCCTGCTTTTGACAGGTGGTGGGAGGAGGAGTATAAAACAAAGCCAGAAGCAAGGATATTTATTTCTTAATACACATACCACACCCCACACCCCCACCTAGCTTACAGCATTCCTGTCCCACCCTCAGCTTATTAAATTCTCCCCCTTTGTGGGTTCACTTTCTCTTCCCTGCCCGCACCCCCAGGGGGCTTTACTCTATCACACACATTGGTGAGACCCCAGCTCCAGAGGCTGGTTGTGGGGAAGCAGGACTCAGACCTCAGCCCCTCCCGTTACAAAGCTCCTTCTGCTCCTGCCCGTTCTTCACTCAGGAGCAGCCATTAAAATGTCGCCCGGAGACAGCAATAAAAGGCCCGGACGTGGGCTCTGTGTCCTGATCAAAGGCCGTGTGTAATCTCGTTAGGGCCGCGGCAGCCACAGCTGGACCCAGCCTTGTTCTCATTACTGGGGCTCCCGCTGCGGGGCTGGCCAGGCGGTTTGATCCTGGCGTCCCCCCAACACAAGAGCATGCCTGCCTGCTCGCAGAGGCTGCCTATGCTCCTTCAGCCTGGGCTGAGAGGACCAAAGGCCCAACGCATTGATGTGTCTGTAGGCCCAGGTGCTCACATGCAAACCTGTGGCATGCTGTATATAACCCAGGCCTTCCCTGCTCTCCCTACAGGGTGCCAAGAAGCTCTGCCCTCAGTGCAACACTATCACAGCACCTGGAGACCTGCGGAGGATCTACTTGTGAGCTAACTACCCCCAGCAGGCCTTGCCTCAGGCAGCCCCACCTGCCCCCAGACTCTGTGACAGTGACCCTCCTCCCTTGTACATACTTGCACACAGGTGCCCCATGTACATACACACACTCACACTCTTATTACACTCACACATATACACAGGGCTCTGGAGCCAGAGTGGAGACTGAGAGCCAGGCCTGCTGCAGGCTCCCACCAGGATTGGGGACCACACTTGTTCCAGGCTGTTCCCAAGGTGGAGCAGGGAGTAGGGGAGCAAGGCTCCTGAAAACTAGCTTCCATGCTGACAGATGGACAGACATGCAAACACCAGACTGAAGCACATGTAATATAGACTGTGTATGTTTACAATGTTGTGTATAAATGGAACATCTCCTTTTCTTCCGCCCCACCCTTCTTCCTTTGGTTGTACGATTTTCTTAAGAACACCTGAAGCAGTGCCACCTTCAGGGCTGGCTGGGGGCTCGGCCCATCCATCTCTTTGGGTGCCTGCCTTCCCCTCCCATGGTGTCCTTCCCCCTCCCATGTGCTCGGTGTTCAGTGGTGTATATTTCTTCTCCCAGATATGGGGCACGTGCCCCGAGGGACATGATCTTCTCCTTAGTCTTAGCTCATGGGGCTCTTTGTAAGGAGTTGGGGGAAGGGACAGGAGATGGAAACCGAGCAGAAGAAGCAGGGGCTAATAACAGGGTTGGGTGAGGGTGCTCCTGGCTGCCCAGCCTTCAGTCAAGAACTGTTCCTGGGGTTAGAGCTGCTGTTTCCAGGAAATCTCCCCCTACCTCTCCTGTGGGCCCCATGGTGTGATGCTGTGTCTGTATATTCTATACAAAGGTACTTGTCCTTTCCCTTTGTAAACTACGTTTGACATGGATTAAACCAATATAAATAGCTGATGTCTGTGCGTGTGTGTGTGTGGGAAGGTAGATGGAATTGGACAAAGCAGTAAAGGGGTTAATCCTGGCAGCATGTGAGGAGACACTTGCTGTGGTGTGTAAAGTTAGGTAGAGCTGGTCTGATGAGGGGCCCTGGAGCTCTCTCAGGCTGGGTTGGGGGTGGGAGGTCTCCGCTCCTGGCTATTGATGGGTAGGGGCTCCAGGTTAATTCCTTATCGATGCAGAATCGTCAGCTCATTAATCACAGAAGAGGTCAGAGCTTGGGGGTACAGAAGGGATGCAAGATCAGTCCCCCAACTTAGGTCAGTAGCAGCTCCAACCTTGGGAGAAAACAGAAGCTCCAGGCCTCTCCGTTTCTCATCCCCTGAAATGTGCCAGGGTCTAAAATGGTGTTGCCACCTCAGCTCCCCATGGTGTCGGCTGCTGCTGCTGCTGCTGCTGCTGCTGCTGCTGCTGCTGCATCCTAGTGCCCAACAGCCCTATGTAGCTCCTGCCTTGATCTTCAAATGGAAATGGTAGCTGTCCTTATTAGTAGAGAATGGCTCTGGAAGGATACAGGGGCTGGGCACCAAGGGGCACTCTGTCAGATCCTTCACCCCCCAGTCAGAACCTTCTTTGCTCCCAGTGCCAGTGAGGTAGGTCATCTTATATGCCTCTCAGATGCTCAGCGCTGTAGATGAATCCTCACCTGCAACCGAAAGCTGTTTCAATAACAAATATTTGCCTGCAATTGAAGGTACTAGAGTCTCCATGACTCCAGGTACCTTTCCTGTACACATTCTCACACAGGCTCAAGCCCTTATCCCAGATACCTGCTGCCTCTAGATGCTCAGCAGTGTGTACTACAGAACTAAGTGAGTACAGTTAGCACCTCCTGCCTCTCCCTTTGCACCCAGGTAAGAATGCGCACAGAAGACAGATCACTCTTCTGTGATGCCCAGAGAAGGCGCTTCACGCCTCATGCCTGCTTGTTTGCTGTTTACTGTCATCCAGTTGAGCAAGACTTATTTATAATGACCTTATGAACAAAAGGCCTGAAGCCTTTCTATAATTATTGTCATTTCTCCATAGTTTGCAGATGCATGTCATTTAGGAAGTGGATGCCACTGTTACTTCCAAACTTGAATCAGTCTTGGAGTTCCACCAAACATTGCCCACGATGGCACCAAAAACCCTGAATACAAGGCCCTAGAATGCAAGGAAATGGATGTGACCTCTGAACACTAGAAATAAGACTGAATAAAAGATAAGGGCAAGACAGAGGAGGCTCTTGAATATCTCCTTCCCATCAGGCTGGCTCTCCCCTACCATGGGCTCAGTAGGCCCTTGATGGTTGCTTACTCCCACCCTGGGGGCCACATGTTCTTTAATGGAGAGCATTAACCCAAAGTGAGGGCATTCCACTGGGCCCGCCCTGTGTGGGATCTTTGAGTGCTCAGGACACAGGCAACAGTGCCACCTGTTGGCCACTGCTAGGAATGCAACCACCCAGCATAGATTGGCTGCAGCCGTGTGGAGACTCCAAAGGGCTGATGCAGATAGCACTTGGCTCTGGTGATGAAGAGTTCATCATCTTTGAATGTACTGGGAATCCGCTTCCATCACCCCACACCCAATTCTAGAACTTTCCTAGCCATCTCCATTACTGCCTGCTAAACTTTGAAAATCCAATCCTCTCACCTTGGTCAAAAAACTTGCCACCACAGTAAGTTCATTTAATCAAATATTTATTGAATATCTGCTGTGCTCTGGCATGTGCTGCTGTCATCTGTAGAATTACAGATGATCAAGAGCTATAAGGCTGCTGTTTTAATGCACCCCTAGTCGGTAAGGGTTCCAGAGTCAGCCTGTTACAGCACTGCTGCTTCCCTGCTCTCTGTTCCATATGCCTAATATGATCCAGTGACTTCCTAATAAATGCTGATGGACTGGGGCAAGCCCCAAACCTCTATACCCTCAGCTTCTCACTTTGCTTCTACTTCAGATTCCCTGGCAGTGAGGGCAAAGATGACAATCACTGTCAAGTGAGATTCGTGGGGCTAGATTCTGCAGCTTTGCCTTTCAGGGGCCCTGGAGCACCAATAACGGCCCCTGCCCCCAGCCTGATCCTGTCCTCTGGTACCTTCCAGAAATTACCTTCAGAGAATCTGAAGTCAACTTTTCCTCAACCTTCCTCCCCCTTTGGTAGCCCTTCATAGCTTTAAGGCCACAGGGATCAGTGACCTGACATGGACTTGCTGGAAAGCAGCTGACAGCAAGGTTCCCACAAAGACATCCAAGGTGTTCCCAATCCTTAGAATCCTAGGGTAGGCAGACTACCAGTAGTCCTCTGGGACAGGCCCATGAGAATTTCCCATTTTGAGGGCCACAGTCCCAGAGGACCACAGGGAATTAAACCAGAAGAGGGTCCCATGATGTGTGCTGTGGGAAGTGTTAGGCATTTATTTTTGGTGCAGAAGTGAGGCAGGGAACCTCAGCAGTGGGCACAGCTATGCATGAAGTCGACACAAAGCCTTGTGTAGTAAGTAGGGTAGTCGCGGAGGTGGCTGACGTGTGCAGATGACACAAAGTCCACAGAGTGCACCAGGACCTGGTGTGCCTGGCGTGCTTCCACCATGCGTTCCACATCTCTGGCCAGGACCACCTCGTCAGCCCGTGAGTAGAGGTACAGCTCAGGCCAGCGAGAAGCTGAGTCCTGTAACCTATCATAGAAGTGGGTGTGGAAGAGGGCAGTGACTGGAGCAAGCAGGATATGGAACAGGACTGCCACCAGGGCGAAGGCCACCAGGAGCAGCAGGCGCAGGACAGCAGGCCGGTGCTCCAGGACGGCTGCGAGGGCCCGCAGAGCCCCCACCAAGTTGCTATCACCAGGGCCGCTGTCAAAGATGGTGCCCACCACGTGCAGGTGGCAGAAGCGCTGATTGGTGAGGAGGAGCTCCAGCATGTAGCGGTACAGCATGACGCCGGCATTGCTGAAGACATGGAAGAGCAGGGGCTCCTTTTCAATCTCATAATCAAAGAGGAGCTCAAGCAGCTTCTGGGCCAAAACACGAAGTGAAGGGATACCCAGGGACTCGGAGAAGAAGACCATGTGCCATGGGGCTGTGTATCGGATCACGATGCAGCCCTGGGGAGAGGAGAGAATCCTGGTCTGTCCTCAGGGATAGCAACCAGATGGGTTAGAAGCTGGTCAGAGGGCCCCAGCTTCCACAGGGCCCACAGGCATTACTTCAGCCTTCACCACTTCACTGTTCTCAGGCATTCCAGAAGTGGAAGGCATAGCCAAGGCCCATTCTTGGAATAATTATTTCATGCTGCCAAGTTCCCTCAGCCTGGGAAAGTATTTGAGGCCTGGGGCCCACAGGATGCTTTGAAGACACTCCAAGGGTAATCAGAAGGAAGTCTCACTTTCGTTCTTTGTCTCCCACATCTTGGGGCCTAGGGAGCCTTTCTAAAAACCTTGTACCTTCGTCTGCCTGACTCTTGCACATTTATACCATCAGTACTTGTCTTCTCCCTGCTGCAACAACTCTGATCTGCACTTCCCTACAAGTCAATGCCTCCATTAAGCTCAACACTTTGAGATACAGACTGCAGACCCTGGCCTGACCACCAGCAACCACTTCTGAGCCAGGCCTGCATCACAACTCTGGTCACTGAGTCCTCACAAGACTAATACCCAAGTCTGACTGGTTCCAAAGTCTAGAATCACTCCTCCAACTTGCTCTGAAATTCCAAATACTATAAACAAGCTTATTCTTCAAATTCTAAAATTTTAGCCCAAATCCGTTTCTGTGTTCCAGTGCCCCATTCATGTCTCTCTCTGACCTGTCAGGAAGGGAGCCAAACATTAATTGCCTGTAATTTACCTGATCAGATTGTCAGGAGGAGTTGTGAGTTGGGTTTAATTCCTAATACCACTACTTGCTACCAGTATAGAAAAGAGCAATTTATTTCACCTTTTTGAATCTCAATTTCTTCATCTCTATATTGAAGTAACACTCATCTCATGGTGGTGGAAATGACATGGAAAAACTATTCCTTCAAGTGCCAAAAGCAGCACTTAACACAATTATAATTTTTTTTACACAAAAATTATTAACCAAAAGCAGCAGTAATTAGTGGTGGCAGTTCTGATAGCCCTGCAATACCTAAGTATCCTCCCAGGGACTCTTGAGGAAAGGGTCTCCAATATTCCCTGACCCTTAGCAGTGGGATATTTTACACAGTGCTCTGCTCTACTCTTTCCAGAGGAATGTGGACCGTCTTTCCACTCACCCTCTCCAGCCTACACACAGCATTGCCACCACACACAGCACTCCTGGGACTAAACAAAGCCCACCTACCTCACATCCTGTAAGTGCAGACATATGTGGACCCATCACCCATCAGCATCCATTTTACCAACTGCAGAGCACACATTAAAAAAGCATACATCCACTAACCTATACATCCATAGGCACGTCCAGCATGGGAGAAGTACACACTTGCATATTGCACAAACTTCAACAACACCAACACACACCCTCCCTCCTTTTCCTTTTCCCTCTCCCTCTTTCTTCCCCTCTCCCTCTCCCCCTCTCCCCCCAGCACTCATGTGTAGAACTACTTGTTGGAACACAGAGAAAATCAGCAATTCCTGTAAACAAACCATCTATGACGCCATACACTGTCCTCCGAGCAAAGGCACCCAGATGGCACTACAGCAGTCCCCATGAATGGGCACATACATACCAGGCTTCCCTCGAGGCTTCCCTATCCACCACCCCAACCCCAGTCTGGGTGCATTCCAGTCTCGGCTTCCACTGCCCCAGCCTACCACTCCCTGCATCAGATCCCACCACCTTCAAGCCAGCCATCTCACCATCTCTACACACATTTGGTTCCAGGACAAGGCCCTACTCCTCCAACTCTCCTCTACCTATTTCCAGCCTTCTCCTCTCCAGATTCCTACTCAAACAAGTCTCACCAAAAAGCTCGACCGTCATGCTGTATTCTCTTCTGATACAGGGTTCACTCTTTTCATCTTCCTAGACAAACTTCCAGGTAGAATTCTGATACTCACATGCTCCACTTCACCCAACTTTTCCAGTCTAACTTCTGCCAGACTCCCTTTGGCACTACTCTTGCCCAGAACTCTCAAGTTCTCATTACAATTCAAAACTAACTGACACCTTTCAGCAGCATCTGAGATCATGTACTCCTTGAAATAGTTCCATGCAGCCTGGGCTCTTCAATGAATCAGTGTTGGGAAGGAAGTTGTTAGGTGTCATCAAGTCAATTTCTACTCATAGCAACCTCATGAACAGACCTGAGCCTACCCTCTCCTGCATGACCCTCACCATCTCTGACATTGAGCCTACTGTTAAAAGTCACTGTGTCAATCCATCTTGTTGGGAGTCTTCCTCTCTTTCTCTTTCCCAGAATGATGGGAAGGAAGAGACAGCTCAGAATCTGTAAATGGCTTGCTTAATGCTTCTTTCTATAAAGGTTACAGCCTTGGAAACCTCCTGGTGCTGTGCTGCTTGTAGTGTCACTATGAGTGGAAATCAACTTGATAGCAAGAGATTTTTTTTGTTAAGGAACAAAATAACCAAATGCAAGGTGTGGTCTGGGATTAGATCCTGGGGCTTGGGCAGAGCAGCTCTAAGACACTTTAGAGACAGTGGAGAATCTGAATATAGATAGAAAATTAGATGAGAGGAAAATTTACTAACATGGGAGGGTGAAAAACGCAGGATACAAAAGAGTATACTCAGTAGATCTCTGTTGTTGCTAAGTGCTGTCGTGTCAAGCACAACTCCTAGCAACCCTCTGAACAGAAGACCTGAACCCTGTGCCATCCTCGCACATTAGAGCCACTGTGGCAGTTACTGTGTCAGTCCACCTGGTTGAGGGTCTTCTCTCCTTCGCCGACCCTCCACCCTTCCCAGCATCATGTCCCTCTCCAGGGAATGGCCCCTCTTAGCAACATGCTAAAGTAGGTGAGGCAAAGCCTCATCATTCTTGCCTCCAAAGCACTCCGGCTCCACCCTCTCCGGGACATATCTATTTGTTCTCTTGGCCGTCCATGGGATGTTCAGTGCTCTTCTCCCAACACCAGATACACATATATATACACAAACAGGAAGAAGAGCTAGAGGGATATATGCTAAAGAGTAAAGAGAAGTAATCTACCACAAGTGGGAGAATGTAGAGTGTTATTTTTCTCTTAAATAATAAAGTATTGGGAGTTCTGACCTGGGAAAAAACTTTTTTCACAGCCATCCTGCTTTCTTTACTGGTAGGTAACGGCATGCCCTTCCTTTCCGAGTCTACCTCCTCCTCTCTTTTGTCTTCTGCCGCACTTTCTTTACTCACTCCCTACACAATGGCCCATTTCCCAAAGACTCTGTGGATTCTGTCACACACTCCTGGACTTCTTGTCCATCTGTGCACACTTCCCTTCATCTATGGGACCCTCTTTTCCCTCCATTCTTTATTCCCCTCCTCTATTACTCTCTCTCTGGGAAAACTGCCCTAGTCAGAAGCTTAGACATTCTCTGGGACCCCCTCTTTATCACTCAGCCCCACACTCACTTGCTCATTAAACTGCCATCCCACCTCCTAATAATAAGCTCCTCAGGCTATCAATATTTTCCTGCTTGCATTACCCACCCTAAGGTCCTGGCCACACTCTGTCCTGCAACCTCTCCTGACTCAATTCCCTCTCTCCAGTTGTGGCCCTTTCAATCCTTTACCTTCTCTATGTGGAGGGGTTTTCAAAAGCATAAATTTAACACAACACGACACCCTTTGCTTAATCCCCAGCCTCATCTCTTAACCCCTGGTGATTTTTTTCATCCTCTGTTCTAATCACACCCAATTACTGCTTTTCACCTGCCTGCCCTCAGAGATCTTTGTCTAGTCAAGCCCAGACAAAAAAACTTAGCTCATGGTTAAAATTCAGAATAGCTGAAACTACTGCAGAATAAGGCAACCTGTAAAGGTGATACTGGAGGAACTTGTTGGTTAGAGGGAGGCCTCACTCTCAAAACATTTCCCCCTAACTCTATTCTCACTCTCACTCCATGGTAGGACACAGATATGTTCAGTGTTAGGCATGAGAGAAGCTGCCAGGGTAGACGTGGGGGTGGGTACTGGAACTGCCAGGCAGCAGCTGACCATTACCCCAAGTGATTCTCACTCCTCCTCAGTCCAGGGCTTCCAGCTGGTGGTTACTGCTGTTTGCATGGATGCCCCTACAGCAAGCTACTGTGGAGAGGTCTGGAGTGAGGAGGGAAGGATGTCCAGGCTAGAGGCCAAAGATGTGAAAAGGTAAGCAGGCCCTCCTCAGCATTCTCCAGTTACCACTATTCTACATCTGAGTCTTGATGAAGCCTGAGAAGAAGCATGAACCCCTCAAGTCTGGATCACTTTTCTAAAAGAAACTTATACTTTGGGAATATGGAAGGTCTCACGGTCAACCCAAAACAGAAACTCATCTGGTCCGAGGAGAAAGTCCTGGTAGTAGAGGCTGTCCCCAGTACACCCAGGCTCCTGATGCCTCGAGATGCACTATCCAGCCAACAGGGACTCCACAACTGGGGAGCACATCAAGGCTGCACTGCCCACTGTGGAACTGAGAGAGGAAGGAAGGGAAGCTAAAGAATCCTTGTGGCTGTATTATCGTCCCCCCAGGCTGCTCTTGGTGCCATTCCCACATGAGTGGTCAGCCTTTGCTGCATGCCAGAGGTGATGCCAGCCACAAGTTGAGAGTTCTCTCTAAGCTGACACAGATGGCAGGGTCCCAGCTCTCAGGGCACCCACATGCTGCTGTACTCACCCGTTTATGGTAGATGGCGCTGTACTTGGCAAGATTCTTGTCAGAGCAGCCACCCCAGCCCAAGAGAATCACCACAGGTTGTCGAGTCCCTGCCTCCTTCTTCTGTTGCTCTGGGCTGCTCTCTGAAACACAGATACACACAGACTGTCAGGCGTCCAACTGGGTTGGGGATGACTGGCCAACCCTGGGCCAGCACCAGTCTGGCTGCTGGCAGGCAACCAATGAACACCAAACCTATTCATCCTGCAAATCCCTGGGCCCCAGCACCCAAAGAACACCTTCCCTAGTCCCTCTGTCCTAGCTGGCCTTCTACTGACCTGTCAGGAGGTACTTGGAAGTCACTGAAAAACCAACAAGTGCACCGCTGGCAGCTCAAAGATGCAGCCAAGGTGAGAACTGAGCACTCTCCATGATATTCCACCTTCCAGTCTAGGAGTCAGCAAACTTACTACCTGTGGGTCAAACCCAGCCTACTGCCTGTTGCTATGTGGCCTGCAAAAACATTTCAAAATGTTTCAAAAGAATATTTCATGACATATGAAAATTGTACGAAATTCAAATTGAGTGTCCATGTTATTAGAACATAGCCACGTCCACACATTCATGCAACATGACGGCCCAGGGCCTGGCAGTGTGTGTTCTGCTGGACATAGGGTCGCTGTGAGCCAGAAGCAAGTTGATGGCACTTGACAAAAACCAACATGGCTGCTTTCACATCAAAACAGCAGAGTTGAGTAGTGGCAACAGAGGCTGTATGATTTGCAAAGCCTAAAATATTACTGTTAGAACAACATATGGGAAAAAAGTTTTTAAAAGGATAAACAGAACCATTAAGCTGAGGGGGGCAAAACAGACTATGGCACGTACTAAAACCATCCACCTTAAACTGCCAAAGAGTCCCAGGGTGATGCAAACCAATAACAGATTCAGATGCTGACTCAAAGGAGGTTTCAGTCCACCCAGAGGCACCTTGGAAGAAAGGGCCGGTGATCTTTTCTAAAAAAATCAGCTAGTAAAAACTATCATGATCACAATTCTACTCTGTATAGGGTAAAAAAACCTCTGGATTTTGTTAGTTTAGCATTTCTGGAGGTATAGGGAGCTCTGGCGGTCTAGTAGTAATCCAAGCTGCAATCCCAAAGGAACTCAGTTTGAATCCACCAGCTGCTCTGTGGGAGAAAGATGGGCAATCTTCTCTCAGGCAATTAAACTCTCTCTGAAAACCCACTGGAGGGTCAGCTATAAATTGGTTCCAACTCTATGTGACATTAACTATTAGTACAGGCAAACCTTGGAGAGATTCTGAGTTTGACTCCAGACCACTGCAATAAAGTTTTTTGCTTCTCAGTACATGTAAAAATTATGTTTACACTATGCACCATTAAGTGTGCAATAATATTATTGAAAAGGTTTGAAATAGTGTGAAAATCTACCAAAATGTGACAGAGACACCCAAAGTGAGCATATGCTTTTGGAAACATGGTACTGATAGATTTGCTTGAGGAAAAGTTCCACAAACTTCCAGTTTGCCAAAAACATACTGTTTGCAAAATGCAGTAAAATGAGATATGCCTGTATTACATGTAAGGAAACAGGCTCAGTGAGGCTAAGTTTTTTAAATACATTCGAAGCCAGAGCCCCCAGTCTGTCCAGGAAGCAGGTGTCCTTCAGTGATTCACAGAGAGGCACAAGCCCAGCTGCCAACTCCTCAAGTGTTCCTGAAGAGGCCTCCTACAACCCTGCTGAACAAACCTCATCTTATTCCCCCGTGAAGTAAGTGTCCAGCCCCTCAGGGGGACTCATGTGCAGGGATTGTTTGCAGCTAGTTATTCACTCTCCTGAAAGGGCCGGCATGTACCCTTCCAAGGACCAAGCCACTTGGCTATGCTGAGCTGCCACCTGAGATTTATGGATGCCGGTGGTGACCCAGTAACTGTAAATTTCAAGGCTAGTTAAGAGGATGGTAAATATAAATCACTAACCTTTGGACAAAAGGAAGACAACAATTTCCTGTGGAAATTAATGTGATTGAAAAGTTCAATGTTCCTGCTCTCTAGCAGTGGTGACTCTGGCCTTCGGAGATTAACTGCCTGCACCCGCTGGATGCTGGGCTGGAGCGGAAGCTGCCCGTTCCTCAGTCGCTGGCTGAGGCCTGCAGGTCCTCCTAGCCTCTGCTGACATGTCTTTAGCCTCTGATGAGGGAGGCACATCCACAGACTACAGCAGCAATGCTGGTGCTATATAAATATTCTTGCCTGCCCTCCTCTGTCTGGTGTTTCCTTTTCCCTTGTCCTCTGCCTGGGCAGGTCTTCCCTTGCACTAGCTTTTTGGTGGAGAGACTGTGTCAGGGCCTCCCAATGGTCCTTGCCCAATCGTAATTCTCCCGTGAAGTCCTGGCTGAGGGAACCTCCTGGTGAGCAGCAGCTACAATATGGTTGCCTTCTGAGCTTTGAGGTGGAGCAGTTGGATTTCTGAGACCTTGCCCTGGGGAGGTGGGGTCTTACCACTGGGAAGCAGTCTGAGCACCTCACTGCCAGCAAATAAAGACTGTAAGAGGGAAGTGACTTTGATCCAGTCTCAAATGATTCATGGCCTCCAGAGTTGTTTTGTAACCTGCAGTTATTTATTTGCTCCCTGTCTCCTCCCGTTTTGCCAGTCTGTTCCATGAGGGCAGGAACAGAGCCAGCATGCTGATTGCCGCAGTCTCCAGTGTCCAGTCCCTGGCACATTCAGGGACCCTATAGATAGGTGCTCAGTGAGCACATGGCTGCAAAGTGAAGGATGGATCCAAGGAGAAGGCAATCTTCTTATTCCTCATTGCCTTTTCCAGGGTAATAAAATAACTGTTATGGCTAGTGTCATTTATTGTCACATCTGGATCAGTATTCCTGCACCCTCATGTAAAACCCCTGCTCCTTTCAAGCTCCTTCCACTGACCATGCCATGTTCTCCCTGGCTCCTCCTGACAGCCTCTGGGCTTCTGGCTGTTTCCACACAATCATTAAAGCCTTTGACGCCTGTTCACTTGCCCCCTACACTCTGTGATTTTCCATCCCCCTGTCTGATGATGACATTGGCTATGCAACAAATCCACTTTGTTCTAAACGGTTACAAAACTTTCAGTGTCCCACATCTCCTTCCAGATACAGCTCCACTCCCTCCTTTCCATTACCAAAAATAGGGAAACAACAAAAACATCAACAAGAATGAACGCATAACAAGAAATGAAAATCCAACTTGGTTTGTAAACTTTCATTAAAATCACACACACACACACACACACACACAAAACCATATAGCATTCATTGGCACACTATTATAAGGACTTACAAACTCATTTATTCTTCACAACAGTCATTATTTTGCCATATACAGGTGAAAAACTGAGGCAGAGAGATAGTAAGCAACGTGCTCAAGGTTATACAACTACTAAGGCTGGAATCCAAACTCAGGTGACCCTAGAGACCAACCTATAACCACCATTCCAGACAACCTCATCCCCACCTGCTTAAGTCAACCCAGACCTCTGCAGTTTACCTCATGGTCTCTCTCCCCTCCTTCTTCAGATGCCTCTAACCAAGGTCACAGCCACTAAACATATATTACTTATTAAAATGAATTCTTTGGAGCACTTATCACAAGTGACCTCTTAGCCTTCTTTGTAAACATTCCTTTCTACAAACCTTGGAGCTGGATCTCCAAACAGTAGTTCCACATTCCCATAATACTGGGGCAACTCGGGCCACTTTCACTCATTATCTTCTGACTGCTCTCCCTCCAGTTCCGCTCCCCGAGAGGCTCCACCCTTGGCCTTCTTCTGCTATCATTCTACATACATTCTATCATTCTTGGGTAACAAAACCTTAATCCAAGAAGGTTTTAATTGAATCATCATCACCTCTGCTTCAGACCTGTACACATCACCTCTGGCAGATCCAACCCTGAAGTAATCCACGTGCTCCTCAGGGACTGGCCACACTAGGTAGAACCACACCATATGCCACCTTGATCTTACTACTACCTTAGAAGTTAACTACTAGTACAGTCTTCATTTTATAGATTAAAAACTAAAACACAAAAGAAGTTGAGTCCCTTTCTCCAGGAACACACCACCAAGAAGGGACAGAGCCAGTGTCTACTCTCTGAACCAGCAAGCAACAAAGTCTCTTAATTTCATGGCCATGCACATGCTATTTTCTCCTGACCCATGATGCTGGCACTCTGTTGTATATGCTCTGCAGATACCATTTTACCTGCAGAGTCAGCTCACTTCATTTCCAGGAAACTCCACTTGATGTGTTCTCCCTCTCCCACCCCATTTCTCACCACCCCACATCAAGTCATCAGTTGTTGCTGCTGCTGCTGTTGTTGTTACATGCCATCAAGTCACCTGTGACTCATAGTGGCCCTATGTACAACGCACTAAACCCTGCTCTATGCTGCGCCAATCTTATTCTACCCTCATTGCCCCAGTAGCTGAGTCAATCCATCACATTGAAGGTCTACCTCTCCTGTGCCGTCCCTCCACCCTCCCAAGCATAATATCCCTCCTCCAAGGACTGGTCCCGCCCTGCAACATGTCCAGAGTATGTCACAAGGAGCCTCAGAATCCTTGCCTCCAAGGAGCAGCCTGGTTTCACCCTCTCCGGGACAAACCTGTTTGTTCTCCTAGCAGTCCATGGTATATTCAACACTCTTCCACAGCACCACAGGTCAAAGGCTCAATTCTCTTTCTATTTTCCCTAGTTATTGTCCAGCTATCTGATGCATAGCAAGCAATTGCAAAGACTATGGCATGGATCAGGTGCACCTTAGTCTCCAGACTGACACTGTTGATCTTCAGTAGTGTGGAGAAGTCCCTGACAGCCAACATTCCCAATACCATCTGTCTCTTGATTTCCTGGCTGCTGGTCCCAAGAATGTTCACTGTGGATCCAAGCAAACTAAAACTATTAACAATCTCAATCTCTTCACCGTCCATAATGATGCTGCCAATTGGCCCAGTGGTGAGAATCTTTTTTTTCTTGATATTGAGCCTCAATCTGTATTGAAGGCTGCAGTCCTTGACCTTCTGCAGCAAGCACTTCAGGTCTTCCTCAGTTTCAGCACGCAGG